GACGAAAACATCCCAAGGCCACTCGAATTAAAGATGATAAGACTAAGGAGTTTAGCTTCAGAAGAAGAATGGACGACATAAGAAATTGTTGCTAATGAATATAAAAATAAAGCCTTGAACACCATCATGGGTAGTTTGGATGAAAGTCAGTTCACTCTAATAGCTGGATGTACTCAGGCTAAACAAGCTTGGGATATTCTAGAAGGATTATACAAGAAAAATGCCTCAGTTAAAAAATCAAAGCTACAACAAGTGCATACAAAATTTGAAGAACTGAGGGTGCGAGAAGATGAGACAATTGTTCATATTAACACTCAGCCCAAGAACAGAAGAACGAAGCTACTATACTTGGTGAACCATTCTCTGAAAAATAAATTAATTCGCAAGATATTCAATCATTGGCACAAAGATTTAGGATGAAAGTGACAGCAATTCAAGAAAGTGTTTGATGGAAAAAAAGTCTATGGCAGAGCTGATGGAGTAACTTGCAAACATATGAAATGCAAATATTTGTGAATGATGATGCGCAAAAAAGGGAAAATCAGTGGCCTTTCTTGCATATGATATAAATCAAACTAAAATTATTAAGAATTAGATGATGAAGCCATAGCGCTTTTTTTTTTTCTTTTTTTTTTTTTTTTATTTTTGAAATCAAACAATCAAAAGACTATTATTAAAGGAAGCCAATAATAAAGTCCGGGGGAATACCCTCCCAATACATAGGATCATACTGAGAGCCAACTGCCTTGGCAGACTGGATCATTGAACGACTAATATGGCAAAAAACACAAGTAGAAAATGTGTTAACAAGTGAAGCACATGCAAAAAACCACCGAGCCCACATACGATCTATCTAGTTGAGGACGTTTGATAGCACTGACTAGAGTGAGGCAATGCCACACGTCTTGCTTTAATCTACGATAGAGCTTCCTTGCAGGCGACTGCCTCTGACATTAGTGGGTCAGGCACACAATTCAAAAGACCATTTGTGGCGGCCACAAACACCCTATTCTCATCAAACAAACCACCACCACAGGAAGTTGAACCAGTCGTTGCCGACAACCCTACATCAAATTGGAAAATAGAGTGGCCCGTAGGAGGCTGATCTTATCACCAGCCGGACGAGCTACAACCAGATGTGTATGTTATCCTTGCGACACGCCATTCACAGTCTGCCAAGAATGAATCGCCCTTTGTGCCTTCTGGAGAACCACCTTAGCCAAGGATACTCTAGTTTCCCATATCGTTGTATTCCTATTATCCAATATTGCATGGAGGATGAACGCCACTACCAACCATTTTTCCTTATCACACAATTGTTAGGAACATTATGTTTTAGATTTTGATGATACCAAGTGATTATGAATTTTAGTCCCCAAACTTATTTTACTTTTAGACTAGTTATTCTGCTCAAACTTTGAATTGACCGAATAGTGACCCGAAAAGTCAAAGTTCAAATGATCAAAAACAGTCAAATGATAACAAAGTGAAGACTAGAAGACCTGAAGACTTGAAGATTCAAAGAGTCGAAGTTGAAAAGACCGAAAGGTTGCAGAGGTCAAGAGGTGGAAGGGCCTACTTCTCGAAGCGCTAGCAGAACGAATGGTAATGACAACCATTCATAACCAAAAGGTTGCAAACGTCGAAAATGGAAGGACCTACATTTCGAGGCGTGTAAGGGACGAATGGTAAAGTCAACCATTAGATAGTTCGGTGGCAACATTGTTGAGACAAATAAAGATAATGGGGTTGCTTTAGATGATCCAACAGCTCGAAAAATCAAAGTTGATGCTCAACTAGCTCAAATGGCCGATGATGCCATTCCAAAGGCGGCTATGTACACTGTTGAAGATAACTCACTTTCAGTGGATGAAGAACTTTTAGAGTGTTTGAAGTAATCCATCGAATTGTGAATGATCTTCTTATTCAAGTTGTGGAAAAGACTGATGTTTCGAATAGTTCTCCTGCTTGAGAGGATGTAGAACCGGGCAGTGCTGAATATCAGAATGTTGAGGTAGGTTTCGAACAGCTCACCAACTACTCGAGAGGCTGTAGAACCGAGTAGTGAGACAACTCGAGATGTTGAAGTTTCAAGGAGTTCACATCACACAATTGTTTAAGATGTTGAAAAAACGAATAGTGGAGCAGAACAAATAGTTGAACCTAACACAGTTGAATATTATTTGATATTTCCTCTATCCCATTTTATCTGTCTTACTTACTATTCATTGGTCAAACCAATTCTTTGTTCTTTGATTATTTATATTAGCATTTTCTTATAATTATTTAATTTGATTTGTTCTGTTAATAGTATTTTTGGTGTAGTTTCTAAATATATAAATTTTACATACTAATTTTAAACTTAATATTATGAAAAATTAAATTGTAAATAACTTCAGCCAAGTCTCGTTAACTAAACCAGACACATAAAATGAGACGGATGGAGTAATATATATATATATATATATATATATATATATATATATATATATATATATGTACTTTCAAATAATATACTTTATGTATATAAATAATGTACTTTTAGTATATTGAAAATATAATTTTTATTTATGATTCACACAAATGTATGGATCATAATCCATGGAATAATGATTGCCTTCTCAAAGTGTGGGTCCCCGATGATTAGTGTATAATTTACGGTGAGTGATCCACGCTCCATTTAGCGTGGCCAGTGGCCGCATACTTTGCTGAAATTATAATATAAATTAGTGCATATAATATAAGGAAAAGACAATGATTGAGTTGTTCTACATAATTGATGGAATATTATATTAATATTTCCTCAAGTGGCAGTTGTTAATGCCTTAATGGGCGTTGGTATAAATATGAGAAGATTGAGCTACAACAATATATAGGGAGGATATATAAGGACAATTTTAACCATCGTCGAAAGATTATCATATCTATACGTGTACAACATAATCAAAATATAGAATTTAGTTTGAATTAATTAAAAATGCATGCGATTTGTTCTCAATGATTAATTGTTAAATAATTATGTGACATTTTAAATTGATAAAATTAACTAATTATAATGTGTATATGAAATTTTTACTATCAAAATACTTAATAATATTATTCATTAACGATTAATATATATTCTTCATGTTGGCGTAATTACTAATGACCTCCTCACTACCATACAAAAGCTCTAGGCATGATGGTGTCATAATTAGTTATGCTCATCAAATTTGATAGACATATGTATTTTTTTTTTATTTTTTTTTGGTGATGATAGACATATGCATTATATTCCTTATTCCTTTCATTTGTAATCATTTGAAAGTTGTAACTCTAAATAGCAAGTAAAAATACTACTTTTTTTTGTTTTTTGTTTTTTGTTTTTTTTGTTTTTTTTTTTTTGTTTTTTTGTTTTTTTTTGTTTTTTTTTTTGTTTTTTTGTTTTTTTGTTTTTTTTTGTTTTTTTTTTTTGCGTTGATAGCTCGGAACTACTCAAAGCTTTCTTCTCATTCATATTTACTGTTGGATTTCTTTTAATTCCTTAAAACTAGTTCAGATTCAACATATGGTTATGTGTTAGGACCATAGTATTCATATTAACACTAACACCTCAAAAAAAAATTAAAATAAAAATACGACGTATTAGAGCTATTATAGAAGGTATCAAAACTTGAAAAGGAACCTTTCTAATTCTCCACCGTTCAAGGCTTATGGCCCAGTTTGGTAAGTGGCTTAGCTGATAGCTGATAGCTCATTGGGTTAATTAGAGAATATAATTACTTGATAACATTAGTTGATTGTAGGAAGGTGTTTAGTAAATTAGCGGTTAGTTGATATCTATTTGGTATAAAAAAAAATATTCTCAAAAAGATAATTGAAAAAGTTGCTTTGAGTAGCTTTTTGAATTTTAGCATTTTGGAGTTACAAAAAGCTAATTAATCAAATACTTATATTAATTTTTTAACCAAGTCAAAGAGCTAATAGTGGTCAAATAAGTTAAAATTAGCCTATGGATTAACTATTTTACCAAACAAGGCCTATATATTAATATAAGTGAATTAAGTGTTAACTGCTACTCAAAAAGTGTTAACTACTACCCTATCATGCCTTCTTTTCTGCACTTGGAAAAGTTGATAAAAAGGTGAAGCTAGATTGTGTTTTGTGTAGCTTTAAATGGTAGCCACAAGTGCTCATAATCCCATTCACCATTTTGGATAGAATGAAATCTGTTGGCTTCTTGCAACTTGTATGGCGTTTGGATTTCAAATCTTAATGGGGACAATTTTCTTGGAGAATATATCTTCGTTGTAGTTGTGGATTAGGAAGAAAATCATGAACCACACCAAATATTTAATTTGGTTGTGCCCTATATGATCAATTATATAATCAGCTTTACAGTACAAAAAGGGAAAAGAAAGGCATCGGTATTGTATATATTACAATTTACAAGGCATACATACATGTTCTTTTCTACAATTTGTATTACTTTTCCCATCCATCAATTATTTATTCGACATTGAACTAACTTTTTTTTTTTTTTTTGAACTAACTCTTAATTTGTCTAATTTCTTCTAAATTTATGTCAAGTAGCTATCAATTTATAACTATTAAGTTCATCTTAAAGAACAAATTTAAAATGCATGGTTGTTACTTGTTAATATCATCATATGCCCTCTTGCTTGATAATCTTTTTTTTTTGTCCGAATAAAAATGTAAAGGATAAATGGTGCTATTTCAGTCCGATTAAAATTGATTTACAAGAAATTTATATGACATAATAACATATTAAGAAGCTAATAATTAAAAAACTTGAATGATCAAGAGGGTGTACCATGCATTAGAGGCATGGAGGAGTGCTAGTAGAGATATATACGTATTTGGGGTGTCACCCCTCCGTCCGATGTTTTAAAAAAAAAAAAAACATGAATGATATAAATAATTTAAACAAAATAAATAATTTTTACCATTTTTTTTTTGAAAATAAAGAGCTAATTTTTTTGAAATTAAAGACATTAACATTACTGATCCAGAAAACTGGAAATACAATCCGGAGGTACAATCGACCACACACCCAAGTCAGACGAAGAATCAGTCGCTCGTGCAATGACATGAGCTACTCGATTCGCTAATCTCTTGACATGGCGAACAACAACGTTCCCAATGTCGCTAGCAATCGATAAACATTGCTTCACAATAGAATCTACATAAGAAAAATCCAAATGGCTAGAATTAAAAGCATTGCAAAAAAGTAAACAATCGGTTTCTACAATTAAGCGATCGTGGCCAAGACCATGAAGCCAAGAGAGAGCTTCTTTAACCGTGCAAACCTCTGCCATCAAAGGATCCCGATTGCAGACCAACCGACCATTCTTCGCTGCCACAAATCTACCCCCGTGGTCTCGTATTACCACCCTGAAGCCCACGCTATCAGCCAAAATTGCGGCGTCTACGTTGCATTTGAGCCAGTGTCGTGGCGGAGGTTCTCAGATCACACAAACGTCAGCGATACATGCTCTGGAAGCTGCCAGCTTGTAGGCGTCATTCCATGTGGAGATCAGCCGAAGTATGTGATTGTGTATCACCGCTATTCCCCACACTCGATCATTCCTCACGGTCCACAGCATCCAAAAAACTGCAGCCATATGCACAGCCCTCTCCCCACATGAGCTTGATAAAACAGTTTCAATGAAAGCTTGAATAGAAGCCCCTTGCAACACGTCGTCTTTCTTCCAAACCTGCCGTGCTATCCAACAGACGCCTAACAAATGCTCGGCTGTTTCCGCGTGCTGCCCATAGAGCGGACACTCGCCCCCAATCCACACACTTTTAGATTTCAAGTTTTCACGAACCGGGAGGATGCCACGGGCGCAGCGCAAAATTAGATTGCATACCTTAGGCGGAACTGGTAAGCCTCAAATCTTCTCCCACGCAGCGAACTCCCCAGGTGTATGCAGAGCACGACGGCTGTTAATATCTTGTATCCATGCTTAACCGAGTAAGCTCCTCGAATGTCACCCACCCACCGCCAAGAGTCCGGCAAATGATTAGCTATGGGGGTAGCGATGATCCTGCGCACGTCTGCTTCCTCAAAGAGGTCGTTGAGGATCTCCTCGTCCCACTGTCCACGTTCATTCATTAGGCCACTAACAGTAGCTTCCCGTAAAGCGTCCACCAGAGAAGTAATAAGACTGGCATTGGATGGATCAGCTAACCAAGGCCAACTCCAGATTTTTGTAGCCTTGCCATCCCCGATACGGCGTGCTAAGACCTCTCGCAAGACACTTTGGCCTGCCATAATACTCCGCCACATGTAACTTGGGTTGTTACTAATACTAGCTTCCATGAACTCACATTTTGGGAAGTACTTTGCTTTCAAGAGTTGCCTAACCAGCGAATGCGAAGTAGTCAATAAACGCCACCCTTGTTTGGCAAGCAATGCAATATTGAACTCGTGTAAGCGTCGAAACCCCAATCCACCTCGACATTTTGGCACACTTAAGCGAGACCAAGTCATCCAGTGCACACCTCTACCGTTCGACACTCCTCCGCCCCACCAGTACCGATTGAACAATTTTTCAATCTTATCGCACAACCGACCTGGTAACAAGAAGACTGACATAGTAAAAATTGGGAGGGCCTGCGCAACACTTTTGAGCATGACTTCTTTACCTGCTTTTGATAAAAATCTATGTTGCCACGACCCTAGCCGCTCCCAAACCTTCTCCTCTATGTAACGAAAGGTGGTCGATTTATTGTGACCCAGGACCGAAGGTAGTCCTAAGTAGCGGCCGAAATCTGCCGTCTCTCGAACTCCCATGCATGCAGTGACCATCTCTCTCGTCTCAGTTCCAGTGTTTGAGCTAAACATGATGCTAGATTTATCATAATTGACGAGTTGCCCCGATTCTGCATTGTAGCTATCAAGGCACCCCTTGACTGACTGAGCCTCCCCACTAGTAGCCCTGAAAAAAAGCAGACTGTCGTCCGCAAAGAATAAGTGCATCACGACCGGAGCCCCCCGCGCAATTCGTATCCCATGAATGTCACCACACCCCTCAGCCTGTTGTAGAAGGACAGACAGTCCTTCTGCACAAATGATGAAAAGGTACGGGGATAGAGGGTCCCCTTGGCGAATGCCACGGGTTGGACACACTGACCCCACCCCTACCCCATTAACTTGAATAGTATACCTGACTGTGGTGACACAATAAAGCAATAGATCAGTCCACTTCCGATCAAAACCGAGCGCTTCCAACATTCCATTCAGGTAGCCCCACTCCATCCTGTCGTAAGCTTTGGCCGTGTCTAGCGTCAGGGCTGCCCACCTGATATGAACCTAGTCCAAGGCTCAAATAAAGATGGAATATTGTCCCAAGAATGCTCTCAAAACTAAAGATAGAGATGGATCAAAATACCTTAAACCTCACGAAAACCCTTTATCTCGAATCCTCAAAGACTTGGAAGAATCACATGTAGCTTCAAGTACCTCGATGTTGCAATCTTCAATCAACTAGAGTCGGATCTAGTTTCCTTCGATTCAAGAACGAGTCCACGAACCTAAATCTAAGGTTGAAGAAAGTAAGATTGATTCGAGTCCACGAATCAATTTGCTAGTCGAGTCCACGACTAGCCACTAATTGAGTCCACAATTAGCCATAAGGTTTCTTATACAAGTGTAAAGAAAAACTTAAGAATTTTATTGAATTAAAGCCTCCTCAAAACTGATATGGATGTGCCCTATTTATAGGTATAGGGCAGCATTGTAATCTAAATACAATGGGTAAAAGAGTCCTAAACCTAATCTAGAAAACAAGTAAATAGAGTTTTATTTAGAAAAGGATTTAAGGAATCCTTTCTAACTACAACTAGTGTTTTCTCTTTAATTCTAAACAATTTAAAATAAATGATGACCACAAATAATAAAGTTGATTTGGGCCTCGGATCTTGTGATTGGCCCAATTTGTAATCTTAATGGATCTTCATTATGTTGGGCCGCATCATCCTCCCCTTCTTGAAAAATGATTTGACCTCGAATCTTATAAACATTGTCTTCGATCCGTGACATCACTTGAAACGGGCCACTATAATACTTTCCTCTATCGAATGGAATTATTATTGGAATTCCTTGATTTTTCCACCAATGATGCTTTAAGGATGTACTTTTTGGCCTTGTGATGAGCCCACTATAGACCCTTATTGGATTCCATGTGTGCTGGTTCCTATTATTCTCCCATTCTTGAAAAGGATTCGTCCTCGAATCCAAATCTTCAATGAAAGACAAAGTAGCAAGCTCACTTTCTGTTTTATCACGCTCATGGAACTTTTTCTTGGGGTGCTTGACACGAGTCGCTCCAATCATCATCCTACAATCAACAAGTAAGGCAATTAAGTCTAATGACACATCATGGAATTTAAACATTCTGGATAGTAATAGATCAGCAAAACGAGACATATTAAATTTAGCCATCTTTTTTGAATTTTCAACAAGCACAACATCTTTCCTTCTAGAGCTTAAGGCTAAACCAAACACAAAATCCATGGAAATATCAAGTAATGTTTTAGATGTATTGTGGTGGTAAGTAGCACAATTATGAACATAAGATTCTACATCTTTTTTCTTCTTTGGCCAATGAAAATATCCATGCAAAACATCATCACTCTTTGGAAAACCAAAGTGTCCTTTATGTGAATCAACAATTAAACCATTGCCCAAAACAAAGCAAAAAGTGCAAATCCCATTGACTTTGAACCAAAACCCCTTGAGCAAGTAGTGTTTCACATAAGAAGTTTTCAAATGTGCCTTATAACTTTCCAGTGATTCCTTATCTCTATCAAACAAAGTTTTAGTAAAATCAAAATTAAGGAATCTTGGATGTATGGAGGCAAACAAATTTCTAACACATCTAGCAAGTACGTCATTAATAGAAACATGGCAAAGAAATCTAGAGAATAATAATGCATGCTTTTGGAATAAAAGTGAGTATAAAGTGACTCCCCTTCCTTTCTCTTGCATACTATCCTTTTTAGTTACCAAGAGATGTTGCACTTTGACACCTTGGGCTGGTCCTTTCCACTGTATCACTGATTGTGGTCCCTTTGTTTGGCTACAAACTGAGTTAGAGGATTGGAGTGGTGATTGCAATTCCAAACATGGAGGTTCCACTTTTTTCTCTATGATTTCTTCATTCTTTGAGGCTGGTTTGAGAGCTTGCATCAATGTCAATTGAATTTCTTCTACTTGTTTAGGATACAAACGAGACAAGAAATATGTAACTCCATTCATGTGAAACACATAAGTGTTCCTCATTCCATCAGAACTTATTTTTCTATCAAATTGCAATGGTCTACCTAACAAGATATGAGCAGCCTGCATTGGGATATTATCACACAAGATTTCATCAGAGTAACTGTTAATAGATAAAGGAATAAGATCCTGTTTGGTTACTCTAGCTTCTCCTACATCAGTTAACCATTGCAAACAATAAGGATTTGGATGATTAAGCAAAGGTAACTGGGGAAATTTAACCATAGCTGCACTAGCCACATTTGTGCAACTTCTAGAATCTATTACCATAGCACAAGCATTCTCTTTAATTGACCCTTTAGTACAAAATATATTTTCTCTTTGAGACTCATCTTCTTTTAAAGGGTGAACATTCAAAACCTCCTTAACAACAACAGTATGACTAGACTCACTAGCAACATATTTAGAATCAGAATCTAAAGGTATGAACGGTTCTCCCACAACATGTTCATTGAGAGTTTCAAAATGGTCACATACCTCATCCTTAGACTTATATTCAAGACAAGAAGCAAAATTTTCAGATTGTTTTGTTATCTTAACTACCCTTTTGTTAGGGCAATCACGAGCTATGTGGCCTCTCCCATTACATCTATAACAAATCAATTCTCTATCATGTTGAGGCCTCACTGCCTCACTTACCTTTTCCTTACCTTTTTCTTGTGAATCATCTCTTGGAGGGGGATGTTCATCACGCCTTTTAGGGGTGGAACTTGTGTTGTTGTTCCATCTTGATGCACCATTGTTGGACTTGTAGAATTTCATCTCTTTGATTTTTGCCTCAGATTCACGTGCAGCATACAAGGCATCATAAAGGGTGTCATATCTCTGAATACTCATTCCACATCGAATTTCTAAGTTCAATCCCTGTACGAAACGAGCAACAGTTTTTGTCTCTTCTTCAAGTATGTCTCCCTGTTTAAGCAAAATACTTATAGTTTGGTAGTACTCATCAACTGACTTTTTTCCTTGCACCGTTTCCTGCAATTTTCTTTCAAAATCATAGAAAAAAGATTTAGGACAAAAGGTTAGGCGCATATCTTCCCTCACTTGAACTCAAGATTCATAGGGAATAAAATTAGCAACTCTCTCTCTATTTCTTTTTCGCCACCAAGATAATGCATATCCCGTAAAAGATGTAGCAACTATCCTAATTTTTGTAAGATCAGAATAGTGCTTTAAATAAAAAAGAGTTTCAATAGCATTCTCCCATTCTATGTATTCGGTAGGTCCTTTCTCACCGGTGAAGTTAGGAATTTCAAGTTTAATGTTTCCTAACTCCGCATTACGCGGTTGGATCCTTTGACATCTAGGATCCACTCTTCCTGCCGGTGGCAAATATTGTTGATCATTGTGTATCGATTGCACTTGCTGAGGGTGTTGCTCCAGATTATTTATTCGTTTGAGTAACCTGTCTATCTTTTGTTCTAATGTCTGGGGCAGGTTTGGAACTTGTTCAGCCATCTGTATAGGAAAAAAAAATCTAAAAACAAGAAGATATGTGAGTATTTATGTTAGTGAAACCAAAAAGTTGGCTCGCTCCCTCGCTATTCTCAGCTCGCAGGTAAGAGGTGGATTATATAGCTCTAGGGGTGCACTACACACTCTTACAAACACACACTCCACTCGTGTATCGCTCAAGGTGGCAGATACTCTCACAAGCCTTTTTCCAAAAAGGAAAATTCTAGTCCGGAACTCAAGTTGATATGGATTCAACCTCAAAGTTCAAGAAAACGTACCTTGGAAAACTTCACAAGCCTTTGAGAGTAAGGTGTATCGCGAGGTAGGTAATAAAATTGAGAGTAAGAAGCAAAGAAAAAGGACAATACGAGCAAAGAAACTAAATAAGATTTGAAAGGAAAAGGAAACCAAAGAAGGAAGTATGGCAGAAATATATGCAAGACCAATATCAAAAGATAGAGACAAATAGAATATATAAGGGGTTCATGTGTACCACAACCAATTAGGAATCTATCAAGAACTCCTTCCAACCTTATACTTTTCCCCTTCCTTATCCCTCCGAAATTCTCCTACCAGCCAAATTCTTTCCCCAACCTTATTCTTCTTCTTTATTGCTTTCTCTTTTTTGTTGTTTTTTTTTTTTTTTTGCAACTTTCTTGATTTTTTAAAACTTTTTTTGATAGGTAACCTCCAAATAACTACTTTAAATAACAACAAAAATTTCGGACCAAGAGGAACCACACAACCCCTTCAAAAGAGAATCAAGAATTTCAAGAATCTCCCAGAAAAACAGAAACAATGCTCTGACTTTGAAGATCAATAACTCACTAACCAGAAGGAATTAGACAGTGTATAATATATCAAAAGAACGACCCAGAAGAGATCTAAAACATATCAAAATTTCAGATAAAACTAACCGGTGGATCTCAAGATATAGGTAATTCTTTGAAACTGGTCACAGCTCCCGGAAATCTGGACAGGGTGTGATTGAGATGTGATTGCGCGTAAATGCGCTTTGGATATAGGTAAGAGTGAGATGGGGTTGTTTTCTTGACAGAATATGTGGTAATATGGTGCTTAGGAGGTGTGAGGTCTCGTTGATATTGGACAGGAAAAAGGGAAAACACTTTCGGGATTGTTTTTCAAGAAACTGGAGAACATGTATCAAGATTCAAGAACACAATCAAGAATGTAAAAGAAATTTTTTTTTTTGGGGTTTTTTAATGAATAAGACACGAATAAATGTAGTATGTAAGATAAGAACGAGATAAACCTAGGGAACCAAAAAAACCAAATTTCCAATGATAACGAGACAAACCTAGGCTCTGAATACCAAATTGATATGAACCTAGTCCAAGGTTCAAATAAAATGGAGTATTGTCCCAAGAATGCTCTCAAAACTAAAGATAGAGATAGATCAAAATACCTTAAACCTCACGAAAACCCTTTGTCTCGAATCCTCAAAGACTTGGAAGAATCACATGTAGCTTCAAGTACCTCGATGTTGCAATCTTCAATCAACTAGAGTCGGATCTAGTTTCCTTCGATTCAAGAACGAGTCCACGAACCTAAATCTAAGGTTGAAGAAAGTAAGATTGATTCGAGTCCACGAATCAATTTGCTAGTCGAGTCCACGACTAGCCACTAATTGAGTCCACAATTAGCCATAAGGTTTCTTACACAAGTGTAAAGAAAAACTTAAGAATTTTATTGAATTAAAGCCTCCTCAAAGCTGATATGGATGTGCCCTATTTATAGGTATAGGGCAGCATTGTAATCTAAATACAATGGGAAAAAGAGTCCTAAACCTAATCTAGAAAACAAGTAAATAGAGTTTTATTTAGAAAAGGATTTAAGGAATCCTTTCTAACTACAACTAGTGTTTTCTCTTTAATTCTAAACAATTTAAAATAAATGATGACCACAAATAATAAAGTTGATTTGGGCCTCGGATCTTGTGATTGGCCCAATTTGTAATCTTAATGGATCTTCATTATGTTGGGCCGCATCACCACCCCATTGCTCCATTCGTCTTCCTCCGCAGAAAATGGCCCACTTCCCCGGCAACAATGATATTATCTGTGAGCAACCTATTGGGAACAAATGCACTTTGTGATTGTGAAACCACCGTGTCCAACACTCCTTTCAGCCTGTTTGTCAATACTTTCACAATGACTTTATAGGCCACATTGCAAAGTGCAATTGGTCGTAAATCAGTGACCTTTTCCGGCATCTTCTTTTTTGGAATCAAAACGATGTTTGACTCATTAAGCCCCACAGGGAAGGAGCCCGTTGAGATACAATTCAGGACAAACATGGAAAGATCATGGCCCAGCACTGGCCAGAAATGCTGGAAAAAAGCAGGCGTCATTCCATTTGGTCCCGGGGCTTTCTCTGGGGCCATGGAAAAAAGTGCAGCCTTAACATCGGCCACCGTAAAAGGCTGCCGCAAGTTCGCGTTCATATCCTCGGTGATCCTTGGATGAACCCGGTCAAGTATATTTGTCGCGTTATACTCAGACTGAAAAATAAAATTATAGTACCTGAGGACCTCGGTATTCAAGTTCGCTCCTTCCTGCCAAACTCCCTGTGAATCTTTTAGTCTTGCCAAAGTATTGCGCCATTTTCTGAAAGAGGCCACCTTGTGAAAATATTTAGTATTCGAATCCCCATGTTTAAGCCACAGCTGTTTGGATCGCTGCTTCAAAAATAGCTCTTCTTGATCGAGGAGCGAATTCAGCTCTTCTTCGGCCTCCATATAATGTTGAATAGCGACTTCCTCCCTATTGTCCCGTAGTTGATCCAGCGTAATGCGCCGGCCAAACTTCTGTTTGTACTCCCCTCCCCACCGTCCTAGCTGTTGCGCACAAAGAGTAAGGCGCTGCTGGAAATCTAAACCAGAAGACTGTCTCCAAGCCGTATCCACCACCTTACCGCACCCCTCCTCCAAAAGCCATGCCGACTCGAAAACGTTAAGTCCGACGAAAAATGGCGCTATGGTCCGACGAAGAAACGTTAAGAGATTGTGGACTTCTGCTCCCTCATGCCTATCCATCCAATCCATAGATGCAACCGCTCTGTCAAGTCTCTCCTCCACCCAACTTCCAGTTCCCCGTCCTCGTTCCCATGTGAAGCGGGAACCCATCATCCCCAAATCTACCAAAGAACAATCGCTTGGAGTTGAATTAAAACCATCTATAAGGGCTTCCGACTACAGATGTGTACCACGCTTCTCGGACTGGCAAGAGATATCGTTGAAATCCCCGAGAACAACCCAAGGGAGATTAGAACGATCCAGCAGTTGCCTCAGTAAATCCCAAGTTTCGTGCCTCTTCGATTGATCATGATTCCCATAAAAACACGTAAGTAGCCACAGAGGTTTATCTGGTATACTAACCTCCATGTCAATGTGATTATTGGAAAGACTCAAAAGGTTCGCCATGTCAGAATCCTGCCACAACAAGGCCAAACCCCCACCTCTGCCTCCACGATCAACGTTTAACATCCCCTCGAAGCCCAAACGCACCCTCAAACTCTCAATCTTACTCGTAACTGACAACGTTTCCATCAAGAAAACAAGACCGGGTCGCACATGAGCTATCATGCCTATTAGCTCACGAACTTTCTGGGTGCTACCCAAACCCCGGCAGTTCCAACTCAAAATGCTCATTGTGGCGGGCAGGACTGAGTCCCCAATCCTACCTTAGCAAAGGTTTTTGTGTGTTCCTCCATCACCACATCCCTCCCGAGTCATCTCCCGATACCTCATCACCCTCCCTGCGTCTCTTCAAATCACCGTGTAACCCACAACCCTCCTCCACTACTACCAAAGCCACTGACGGTGACACATCCCCAGCTGCAACGACCACCGCCTTAGATTTTGAAGGTAAGAACCATCTCGCTCCGACCGGTTAAACCTGTCGCCTAGGCCCTACCTTCATCCAAGCCCCAAACGGAAAAGCCTCCGATTCTATCCCCTCCTCGTAGACTTTTTTACAGAACTTCTCTGTATGCCCCAGAATCCCGCAACAGAAACAAAAAATATTAAGCCTCTCATACCTGAACGTGATCCATTGGGATGTGACATCCCTACGGAGCAATTTCATCCTCCTTTTTAGCGAAAGATTCACGTCCAACATTATGCGGATCCTGTAGTAGCTTCTCCATGAACCCCCAAAGTTATTCGGATCAATCGACATGAAAGCGCCCACATGGTCACCAATCTTGGTGATGAAATCCTGCGATGCATAAACCGCTGGCAGTCCATGGACTTGGACCCAAAAGGGGATGTTATTAAGATCCACCTCGTCCGGCCTCATCCCCGGCTTGATCTGCGCACAGACCAACAGGTTATTCTCGTATGACCATGGACCGTCGTCGAGGACACGTTGCATATCCTTAGGGTGAGGGAAATGGAATAGAAACAGATTCTTATCTAGGAGGTCGAGATGCATACCCATGACTGGCCTCCAAACCGACGCCATCACCAGCTGCATATGTTCAAATTTAATCGCTCGATTAGTGAGGAAACGTCCCACCAATTCCCATTGTGATGTACCCTCGTCGACAACCTGGGCATCCGGCGCTGTTAAACCACCGCATTCTTCATCAGCCAGAGACAGATCAGCCCACTTATCCTCGATAAGACTAAGAGCCGGGGGCGACCGTGCTGCCATGGTGCCAGAATCGAAACACACAAGCCATAAACAAATCATGAGAGATATCTCAAATCGCATAGCATAAACGTCACAAAAAGATCGCTCACCTTGTTGATGCACATAAAACAACGCCATTTATACACGAACCCTAGATTCACTAGGGAGAAACTCCCCTAGGCACAACTAGGAGAGAGGGCGACGTTCAGAAAGCACGATCGGAGACGATCACCGTCAGAGATCGCGATCGAACTGCATGCACGAAAGATGCGGAGCGTTTTCCCTTCTATCCTCTATTTTATTTTATTTCAAAAATAAAAAAGGACACGAAAATAAAGAGCTAATTTATTAATCATAAGTTGAAACGATTACAATAAAGATCGATAGAATGATAAAACTGTAACAACCCAAAATTTCATTTTATAAATCCAGGATTAAGAAATCCCAAAGTAGTTTTTTCACTCCATTAAAAAATTTTGCGAGCAATCGGTGTTTGAATAAAATAATTTTGTTCCATTTTAAAGTTAATTCGACACCGAAGAAATGAGTTTCATTCGAAAATTCCAAAGTTTTTGGGTACTTTGCGAACCAAGATTTAAATCGAGAATTTTATCCGAGTGAGACCGGGAGAATTCAAAAGGGAATTTTGAACAAGTGTTCATCCATATAACTTTTGGGAAAATTCACTTTCCATCCCAAAGTAATAAAGAAATATCATTTCTAGCCTATAGTTCATGATACATGGTGGACCACAAGACATCCAAAAATCCCTTATAAAGTCATCTTTTAGCTTGGGGAAATTACCACTTTGCCCTCAACCAATCATTATGAATCATCCAAGGGTTTTGAACCCTATATAAACCCTTCATTCCATTACATTTTCCTGATCTCATTTCTTTGCCTATTCCTCACATTTTGTCTGCCAACATCAAAGGAGAGAAACATCAACCTAGTAAGCCTGTTCATCCTTCATCCTAGCATAATTTCTCTTCTAATTTTCTTTAGTCGTTAAGGTTATAGGCTAAGGATAGAAGGTGTGTTGGGAAGTGTAGGTGGTGAAAGAGGCTCAAGCTAGGCCAAGAGGAAGAAGAGATCCAAGCAAGAAGACTAGACTACAAGAGGTATAACCCCATGGATTCCTCTTTAGATTTGGCTCTGTAAAGCCTAGTGTTGAGTAGAAATGAATAGAAACTATGAGCTTTTGATGTGTTTATGTTTAGAAATGCTTTGGTATGTGTTTATGAGTTGTTGAGATTGTTTTGGACATGTTTGGATAAGTTTTTGCAGGAGAAATGCTATCTGGTGCACAACACAGTGTGCACCAGACCAGAGTGGCGGCCCTAGCTGCGGCCTATCAGAAGGGCCGCCGGCTAGAGCCGTGCCACCACGGGACTAGGGCATGGCCCTAGAAGAGGGCCGTCGCCTAGCCCCGGCTTCTTAACGGGACTACAGGGGCGGACCATGAAGAGTCCCGCCCCAAGTCCGAGAGTATTGTTCTGATGAGGTTTTGTGCAGTGGCCGGGCCCTTGTGGCTCAGCTACGTGTCGTTTCGGACCAAGTGTTACGGTCCCTTGTGGCTCAGCTCTTCGGGATCGTCTTGACGCACGTTATGGCTTTGATTTCGTTGGATTTGGATTAAAAACAAGTATGTTAAGAAGGATTTTGTGAAGAAATGTTACAGAGTGCATATTTTGCTAAACTCACTGTGTTTGAGAAATTGTTGAATTTGTGATAAAAAAAATGATCTTATTGAGTAAAGAAGCATGATCCTTGAGAATATGATTTATTATGAAAGCATGATTAAATTGTATTATTTGATCAATGAGAATAGAAGCATACTTGTTGAAATAAATAGAAATTGCTATTTTGCAAACTGAGCATGTTGATACATTTTTGAATACTTCATGTTAGTGTATATATGATTTAGAAGCATGTTATAGAGCATTTTGACATTTCACATGAATCATATTTCGAAAATGCATAAAGGACCAACGTGAGTCCAATAATACTTTAAAAAACCATAAGCATGTGGTATATCATTCTTTGATGCATTGAGAGATAATAGAATTATTGCATGCATGAGATTGATGGATGAGTGATATATTTATGTATTATCTATATCGATGAGGTTTTGGAGGATACCGTTTGGACTATGTTCCTCTCGGGAGATTATTATGGACATTGCAGTCCCAGTATATGTAACTCGGCGTATTCCCATGTTACGAGGTTGGAAACTTCCCGCCGGGCTTGGAATCCTGATTAGGGGGTGTGCACACTAATAGTTCGATACTGTGACACCCCAAAAATCCACACTCCAATCCATGAATTAATTGAGTAATTAATTCTAATTCTTTTGAGGAATTGATTCCTAAAATCCTGATTTTTAATACTCAAGGACTAGTATTTGACTAGTCAATCTTTAAGTTGTGTTGTATCTTGTGCTTAGAGAGGAGTTCCCTTGTTCCTTACACTTTCTAAGGGTTAGTAAGGGTATCCTTGTCTTTTCACCAAGAGTTAGTATTGTATTCTAACCTAGAAGACTTCTTCATTTCATTCCTTACAATTCCTAGAAAATATCTCTACCTTCTCTCTAGAATAGAAGTGTAGCTTACTCTCCAAGCCAAGTTGAGACCCTTGTCAAGATTCCAAGTTTTGCTTCCAAGATTCAACCTTTCACCTATTTGGGCATCTAGGAGGGTAAGATCTAAGCTTGTCTAGTCTTTTTGGTTCCATCTTAGTTGTCTTTTCTTAAAGGTAGGATCTTTATGATCTTTTGGTTTGATCTTGAAGTGGGTTTGAGAAGTGAGCCTAGTGGAGAGCTTGTTGTGGTGTAAAGAGAAGTCTTTTGGTCTTCAAGAGGTAACCCATGCTCTACAAAACCTATTTTGCTTACCTATATGTGATTTCTTGGATTCTACATGTGTTTTGCTATGAAATGTGAGGGTTTATGCATTTATCTTGTAATATTGCATATCTAGAGCTTGTGTTTAGGGTTCCCTTGTGCCATTGCTTGGCATTTTCCATGGTTCAAGTCGTTTTGTTGTGTTTGGTGAGATTTGGTGTGTTTTGGACTTGAATTTGTGTTTGGAGAAGAAAATCCCCGAAGGGATTTGTTTTGGAACAGGGTTGTTCCCGCGGGCGGAACGGCGGGCGGGGCACCACCCGCCGGCCTACCCGCAGGTACATAGCCTGTGGGATGGTGTTCCCGCGGGCGGGACCACGGGTGGGGCACTACCCGTGGGTCCACCCGCGAGGAACACAGTGGAGTTGGATCGGAATTTGTTCCCCGTGATCCGTTTGTCTCGGTATTTGATCTTTTGACTTCCCGTTGTTCTTTTGTGGAACTATTTGAGCGTCTTCTTGATGTTTCATAGGTCTAGAACTATATGGTAGGTATCCATGTAGGACTTTGGTGTCTTGAATCGTGCTAAGTGTTCAACATCGTGTTTCGTTGAACCAAGAGGTGTCTTGTGTGTTCCTCGGAACTATCTTGAGTTTCTCCGTTGTTAAGCATGCTATTTTATTGTCTTAATGCTAGCGTGTGTGTTGTTTGTACCTTCCGTTTGGTTGATGATAACTTGTGTTATTCATCGTTGTTGTTGTTGGGCTGTGACCCGTTCCTTGATTGAGTATGTTTCATACCTTCATTGTAATCCGTTTTTTGACTCTCTTGTGTTAGGGCTTCAATTGGGCCTTGTTTTTGGGGGGTGTTACAAATACCTGATTCCACAGAGTTTGAACCACGAGATTGGTTCCGTAGACGGTAGGAGATATTTGGTCGGAATTATGCCGTTCCCGATGGGGTAAGTCACACATCTGTGAGACCCTAAGCCGTCTACGAGTATAAGAGAAAGAAAGAGAGTCAACAGATACTCAAGAAGGAGAGTCAACAGAGACTCAAGTATGAGAGTCAATATAGACTCGATAGAAAGAAAGAGAGTCAAGAGAGACTCGAGAAAGTAAAAAAGAAACCTTCATAGAAAGTACTCTATTTTATATATGAGCATATGATTACATTATTGCACGAGATTGTGCTAGTTTTGTTGTTAATCTGCTTGTGTTAGGGCTTCAATTGGGCTTTATTTTTGGGGGGTGTTACAGTTGGTATCAGAGCCAGGTTTGAGCCTAGGAAGAGTTAAGTCTAGACTTTCTAAGTGGTTAAGTGTGCTTTGAGACCTCTAAGCGACCTTAAGAAGCTAAGTGTTAGGCTTAAGACTCTAGGTTGCGCGGTGAGATGTGTGTTGTTTGCTGTCTTGCTTGTTTGCTCTTTTTGGTAATCTCGTTGTTGTTGTAGAAATTTGCGATGCCTCCTCGTCCCCGCGCTCGCTCCCTAGAGACCCCGACCAACGAGCAGCTCGCTCAGAATCTCCATCAGCTGACACAGACGATTCAGTCGCTCAGTGAAGCCATGCTGAACAACAATCAAGCTGTGCCGCCTCCGCCTCCTGCTGGGCATCGCGATGTAGGTCGTTTGGTGTCAGGGCATCGGCCGCCATCCTTCGCTGGCGAGGAAGACCCTGTAGTCCTTGAAGAGTGGCTACGGGTGTTTGATAAGATTTTCACCGTGGTGGGCTGTCCCGAAGAGAGGAGAGTAGAACTGGCAACGTTCTACTTCTGCCAGGAAGCGGATTTGTGGTGGGTCCACGAAGGTCCGACCTTCCTTGAAGAGCCTGGGTTTGATTGGACCGCGCTTAAGGACAGAATGCGCGAAAGGTTCTACCCAGCGCATGTGCGAGCCGCCATGTTTGATGAGTTCCTTCATCTGCAGCAAGGACCTCTATCTGTGGTTGAGTACCACAAGAAGTTCTTAGAGCTGGCGCGCTTCGCGAGGATGTTGGTGCCTACAGAGCTTGCCAAGGTTGAGCGTTTCGTTGCCGGTCTGAATTATGAGGCACGAAAAGCGTTGACGGTGATTAGGCCCAGTTCCCTTAAGGATGCGTATCTGTGTGCCGCGGATCTGTTTCGCGTTCAGCAGCTTCAGAGGGGTTCGTTGGAGTTGGCCAGGAAGAGAGTTAAGAGTGGAGGTTCTTTTATCTTCAAGAAGCCCCGACCGAGTTTTCCGGCTAGAGTTGTGTCGTCTTCTTCTCAAGGACCTATCAGAATGGAGCCTCAGGTTCAAGCTCATTCGGTTGGTTGTC